TATCATGGATGTTAGTAGACTCTGGGAGGAAGCTAGAAGCTCACACTGGTTCTGGTTCAGCTGGAGGTTTGTTCCTGTTCAAAGGGAATTTTCTTTTCCACTATCGCTACAAGCATGCTTGATTTGGAGGATTGCTGAAGAGTTAGAGGCCGTTTCTCAATTCACAACAACGTGAGTACGGACTTGTGTTCTTGCCGAGTATGTTCTTGAGAAGAACACAGGAAACTCTGGGAGAACGGGAGCATGCAGAATAAATCTGGGTCAATTGGAACAGAAGCTGGTCTGGAGCTGCATTTCACCTCCTGTTATTAATAGTCTCTAGATAGTAATAAATTCTAACTTTTTTCATTCATTGGGGAACTAATAATTAACAAAGTCAGATTAACACAAATCAAATTCACATTTTGCCAAATAAAACAAAAAAACCTCCATCTGAGCCAGCGGTCCTTCACACACAGCTATGCAGAGAGAGGGCTGCTGCAGACGGGCTAACGTTAGCCTCGGTTACGGTTAGCTTTGGAGCTCCACTGGTTGCTGCTGTCATCTCAACTTCAGAATTTTTTTAATATTACGCATGAAATCGGTAAATTGCCCATATAGTGACGCTTAAAAGCAGATTGTTCTCACCTCAAATGATCTTAAAACAAACTTTTATTGACCAACAGAAAAGAGAAGCTTTAAGTACAGTGGGGAAAATAAGTATTTGACCCTTTGCTGATTTTGCTGGTTCGCTCACTTACAAAGAATGCAACGATCTACAATTTTAATCATATGTACATTCTAACAGTGAGAGACAGAATCCCAAAGAAAATTCCAGAAATTCACATCATATGAATTTATAAAAATTGATAACCATCTGATGAGGGAAAAATAAGTATTTGACCCCCTACCAAACAGCATGTTAATATTTTGTTGAAAAGCCATTATTGGCCAGCACAGATGTCAAACGGTTTTTATAGTTGGTGAAAAGGTTTGTGCACATTTCAGCAGGGATATTGGCCCACTCCTCCCTGCAGACAGCCTCTAAATCATTCAGGTTCCCAGGTTGTCGCCTGGCAACTCGAATTTTAAGCTCCCTCCAAATATTTTCAATTGGATTCAGGTCTGGAGACTGGCTAGGCCACTCCAGAACCTTGATGTTCTTCTTCTTCAGCCACTCTTTTGTTGCCATGGCGATGTGCTTAGGGTCGTTGTCATGCTGAAACAACCATCCTCCACCCATCTTCAGCTCTCTCACTGAGGGAAGGAGATGTTGATGCAGAATTCCACCATACATGGCCCCGTCCATCCTCCCCTCAGTACCATGGAGTTGTCCCGTCTCATGGCTGAAAAGCACCCCCAAAGCATGATCTTGCCACCACCATGCTTGACAGTGGGGATGGTATTCTTTGGGTTGTACTCGGTGTTCTTTCCCCTAAAACACGACGAGTTGAGTTGAGGCCAAAACGTTCTATTTTGTTCTCATATGACCACATCATCTTCTCCCAGGCCTCTTCTGAGTCGTCCAGGTGGTGAACGGCGAACTTCATGCGGGCCTGTACATGTTTCTTCTTGAGCAGGGGGACCTTTCGTGTGCTGCAGGATTTCCATCCATGACGGCGTAGTGTGTTACCAACAGTTTCTTTTGTAACTGTGGTCCCAGCTGCCTTCAGTTGATTCATCAGTTCCCCCCTTGTGGTTTTGGGATGATTCCTCACCGTTGGAATGTTTAGGGACACCCCACCAGGCCAGATCTTGTGTGGAGGCCCAGACCGAGAGAGGTTGGCTGTGGTGTGGTGCTTCTTCCATTTCGTGATAACTGCACCGACAGTTGATCTTTTCTCTCCAAGTTGCTTTCCGATTCTCTTGCAGCCCATCCCTGCCTTGTGCAGATCAACAATCTTGTCCCTGATGTCCGTAGAAAGCTCTTTGGTCGGCCCATGGTGTTGATGTTGGATGTTAGTTGTTTGGGTGTTGACAGGTGTCTTTTATACAGGTAACGAGGTGAGGCAGGTGTATTTGATGTAGATAATTGGTTGGGATTGGGGCTGTGTCTTAAAGNATACTGGGCATGCATATACTGGGCATGCATATACTGGTGACCTATCATGGATGTTAGTAGACTCTGGGAGGAAGCTAGAAGCTCACACTGGTTCTGGTTCAGCTGGAGGTTTGTTCCTGTTCAAAGGGAATTTTCTTCTCCACTATCGCTACAAGCATGCTTGATTTGGGGGATTGCTGAAGAGTTAGAGGTATGTTCTTGAGAAGAACACAGGAAACTCTGGGAGAACGGGAGCATGCAGAATAAATCTGGGTCAATTGGAACAGAAGCTCGTCTGGAGCTGCATTTCACCTCCTGTTATTAATAGTCTCTAGATAGTAATAAATTCTAACTTTTTTCACTTATTGGGGAAATAATAATTAACAAAGTCAGATTAACACAAATCAAATTCACATTTTGCCAAATAAAACAAAAAAAACCTCCATCAGAGCCAGCGGTCCTTCACACACAGCTATGCAGAGAGAGGGCTGCTGCAGGCGGGCTAACGTTAGCCTCGGTTACGGTTAGCTTTGGAGCTCCACTGGTTGCCGCTGTCGTCTCAACTTCAGAATTTTTCTATTATTATGCATTAAAATTTGTAAATTGTCCATATAGTGACGCTTAAAAGCAGATTGTTCTCACCTCAAATGATCTTAAAACGTACTTTTATTGAAAGAGAAGACCTAGGGTCTCCCTGTGCATGCATGGGTTCTCTCTAGATACTCCATCTTCTTTCCACAGTCCAAAAACATGACTGTTAGGTTAATAGGTGTCTGTAAATTGTCCTTAGGTGTGAGTGTGTGTGTGCATGGTGGTGTGTCTCTGCGACAGACTGGCAACCTGTCCAGGGTGGACCGGATTCGTAGAATACCGGAGATAAGCACCAGCCCAACCGCAACACTGACAAGGACAAAGCGTGAAGAACATGGCTGGATGGATGGATTATAAATAAAGTGAATGTTCAGGGGCAACATGCAGAGGACGACCCCAGCAAAGATTCTCATTTAATGTAAGTGGCAGTGCCAGCTGACAAGGACAGCATGGAACCGATGGTGAACCCAGGGTCCGCTAAACTGCCTCTTAGCTGAGTGTTTCTATCGTTTGCTCCCGAGTTTGTTGGTATCTGCTTATGATGTCATGCTCATGCTGCTGCTCAGGAGATTTCATTATCTTTCTGAAAACCTTCAGCTGGATAATAAATTTAAACATTTGGTGTATTTAATACAAGCTGAGAATCGCTTACAACAAGACCTCAACAGGATCTACAAACTGGGACATGCGGCGGCAGCAGCCATTCAAAATGGCCCTTCCCAGTCAAAAGCCAGCCGAATGGCAACCCACTGCCCTGCAACCTCCAGCAAAATCCCCTCCAACCTTCAGCCACTGGAGTGACCCTCTTCTTCTCCTAGGCGTGCATACTTTTTTACTCTGACTCCACCCTTTCACTGAAATACAGGGTCTGACCAGGAGATCATGCTTCTCTTTAGATCTTAATGTCCACTAATCGTGACAGAAAGAATATTTTAGTACAAAAATTGATGTTTTTTTAAAAAGAAATTGTAGGGAATGTTAGGTTTATTGAAGACAGTTAGTGTGTGTACAACATTGAAGACCTGCCTCCAGCCAGAAGGTCATTACAGGGTCATTCTGTCTTAAGACCCACCCCATCCTGTTGTGTTAATAAAAGGCTCTACTGTGAAGGGAGCAGTGAGAAAGGTGGTGAAATGTGAGCAGGCAGCCTTTCTCCTCCTGCAGGAAGCTGTGTTTGAAAATCCCTTGGTGTGTCAGATTCATTTTTTGTCCTATATGAACTCACAATTTTTTGAAGCTAACAGGGAACCAGCCAAGTTCCCATTGAGGAAAGTAGGGACATTTTGAATGGCTACTACTGTACGAATGAAATATGATGTGGAGAAAGATGGCCTTACCTCAGAGCTTCAATGCTTCCGCTCTTATTCACACAGGTCACCTCTCTGGTCTGGTAGCCGACCTGAAGATCCCAGAATTTTCCTCCTGGACGGTTTTGCCGGTTCTTGTTCCTCCTCTTTTTGATCAGCTCTCTGGTCTCTGGGTCTTTCGGCTTCCCCTTCTCTCTTATCCTTCCTTTGACCTTCTCTCTCATTTTGTCTTCTTTTGCCTTGTTTTTTACCTTTTTCTGCCGCTTGGGTCGATCGGCCTGTCTGAAGGCTTTGCCTTGCTTCCTGTTTGCTCGGCCCAGTTTTCTGTTACCTGATGGGGGTTTGTTACCATTTCTGGACACTTTCTCCTCCCCTTCTGTGGACTTTGTTTCCTTTTCTTCATACTGTTTCTCATCGTCTCTCATGCGTTTTTTCTTGCGTTCTTCTCGGGCCTGTTTTTCCCCTCCTTTGGATGGTGTTCCACCGTCTCTGGACTGTTTGTTGCCTTCTTTAGCAGGTTTATCACTTTCCCTGGATCTTTTGCTGTTCTCCCGGCTCGGTTTTTCAGCTTGCCTGACTTGCCTTGGCAATGGGACAGAACAGGAGCCCCATGGTCCAACTCTGAGGCTGTAGAGGTTGTCCTCCCCCTCACACAGTCCAGGCTGACACGTCTGGAATTCAGTTAGATTGGGGCAGGCAGACCCACCGAACAGTGGTGGCGCCAGAACAAAGCGTATTCGATTCCGTAAGCCAATGCCACATGTTTTAGAGCATGAAGTCCACGGACTGAACTCAGACACCACACAGTCACGAGGACAGGGTATTAGACAAGCCTGCTCCTGCCTCGGTTTAGGCTCGAAGTATTCACAAATTGCATCCTGTGCAGGCTCGCCATCGGCTCTCTGAACACAGCCCACTTCACGAGTCTGTATGCCCTCCTCTCCACGTGTGCACACAGCTGGCCGCTGCACCCCACCACTGCGCATCATTACTGGGACGCACTGGTTCCAAGCACCCAGCTGCCATTCGTAAAGATCTTTGTGCCAGTCACACACCCTGAAGCAGCTCTGCTGGTTTTCCGGCCGCTCTGCCTGGTCACAGTTTGTGTGGAGGGTGGTCCAGCCTTCAGAATGGGCACACCACACCGCTCTGCTCTGGCTGCCTCCAGGTCCGCACTCACTGCCCATACACCGACCCCATGGACCTGTGCAAAGGGAGAGGACAGCAGTCAGCCATGCATGGGAAACAGTGGTTCTAATTATATAGAGAAAAGGGAACATTAGTTGGATTTTTCTTATGTGCTTTTCTGATACTCTTAATTAAAGATAATCAGTATGAAAGAAAAAAAAAAAACAATCTTAAGAGCTTAACACTAGTTGCTTTACTCTGTGAGCAAAAACTGAGCTGTTACAATTTAAAAGTGAACATAAAATTGACATTTCAAACAGCAATTTGCAAACTAAAATGTGATTCTTATTCTTGCTGTATGAAGTTAAAAGCTGTTTTAAAACTGCTTCGCAGGTTCGCATGATAAAATTGCAACGCAGTCAGTATAAAAACAGCAGCTGCAGGGAACAGCTGCCGGCAGACGGATTGGATCAATGGAAATCAATGGAGGTGGAAAAAGAACTGGACCAGTTGATATCAAATGTCAGCTGCAGCTTCAGACCTGAAAAGTGTCAGTGGCTATTTTCATCTGTTTTAGGTGAAAAAGGGAAAATAATGCATAGAAGAATCTATGATTGCTAGAAACAGTTTATATTTAAAGCTGTAGGCTCAGGTGATGGAATGCAGGGACCTGAAGGTTTTTCTAAAACAGCAGATCAAGGTCAATGCTGTGGGAGTAAGAAGCAGAGGGAGCTGTGGTGTTTCATCCAGCTCTCCAAAGAGGGCAGCGTGTTCTATGCCCTGAAGATCTTCCTTTCTACTGTTTCAGAGGCTCGCAGGTCTGAGCCGTGGTTTCTAGATCTGCCACAACTTCCCCAGCTGCTGTTAGCCGACTTACAAAAAACACAAAACACCATCCATCCATC